TAATAAGAAACAAGAAAGTCAGTATGGTCTAGTGGCGAAGGCATCAAACTAGAAACTAGGAGTCTGTGGGTTCTAAACCTGGGTTAGGCAAATGTAAACATCATTTAAATATTTAAATGAGAACAACTGGGTGACTTTGGCCAGTCCAGAGTCCCAATTATGTGGGCTTCACATAATTTTACCACCGGTTTGCCGCGCACTGAAAATGTGAACACAGGCGCTTTGTGGAGTCCTCTCTTTCAGCCTGACTCACTTCACAAGAGCCTTGGTAGTACAGTGGTCTAAGGCACCTGTTATTAAGCTGGTTATTAAGACCAGCTGCCTGCAATTACTGTAGGTTCGAATCTCGCCAAGGCTCAAGGTTGACTCAGCCTTCCATCCTTTCTAAGGTAGGTAAATTGAGGACCCAGTTGTGGGGGCAATAAGCTGACTTTGTATAAATATACAAAAGAATGAAGGCTATTGCTTAGCGCATTGTAAGCCTGAGTCTCCGGAGAAGGGCGGCATATAAATCAAATTTTTTTAAAAAAAGTTTGTTGTGGAGGAGGAAAGTGTATGAGCTATGTTTGCCACTTTGAGACATTTATAAAAATAATAAAGTTGGTATTAAAAAAAGTATTTAAAAACCAGAAACATTTCTGCCCATTTCTGTCAACTTTTAAAAGCACAATAAAATAACTCTCTTTATACAACCAAAAATGTACCATGATTTCCTGATATGGTCCGAGACTCTAACAAATTAGAGCCCTAAAAAGTTCTGCCTCACAAGTCAAATTCCTTAAAAGGTGTATCTTTCTATTGCGTCGTTCTTCCTTCAAGCTGAAATGGAAAGATTCGTGTTTTAATAAAGTGTGATCCTTATTATAACTCCATCTTAGCTCCATCTCTCACATCCAGGGCTAAAAGTTTTCTGCATTCTCCTCTGAACGATACAAGCTGCCCAGAATCGCTTGGAAACAAGATGAGTGGCAAATAAATTTAATAAATAAATATGCTGGACATTTTTAAACAGGCTTCAAGAAGAATTGTGCTATCTCATACATACAATAGCTGATTGTGATCATGCGGGGCATGGAGACCCCTAGTGGAGACTGCAAAAAATTGCAATCGCATATTGCTGTAATTTTTCAATAGAATGGGCTTTCTAATCAGTGCGGTGATATAAGTTTATGATACTTTGGCAGTCACACTGTGGCAGACTCTGACATATTGTGTAGTGGGCTTCAGTAGGCAAGAAGCAGACCAGCACAGCTACAAAAACATTTATTGACTGAAAACTGGAACTGAGGAACAGCAGGCAAATGTAATTTATATTCTAGGCCGGTGATGGCTAACCTTTTTGCCATCGCGTGCCAGGAGGGCGGGGGGCTCTCTAGGAGTCTCTGGAGGCTGGGGACAGCAAAAAGTCACTTCCTGTCCAACCGGGAGTTGGGAAATGGGCCGTTTCAGGCCTCCGGAAGGCCTCCGAGAGGGTGGGGAACGCTGTTTTTGCCCTCCCCAGATGCATAGAGAGGATCTGGAGCCAGGTGAGAAAGAAAAACTGGCCTTCCCCAACCCCCTAGGCCCTCCGGAGGCAGGAAACAGCCTGTTTCCCTACTTCTGGTGGGCCCAGAAGGCCTGAAAATCAGCTGGCCGGCGCACGCATGCATACCAGAGCTAAGCTGGCATGCCCACTGATATGGCTACATGTGCCACCTGAGGTACGTGTACCATAGGTTCGCCATCACGGCTCTAGGCCCATAGTACTTGAAAAAACCTGAAAAAAGGTTGAAAAAAGGAGCCAAAAAGAAGAGATAGAAAGGTTAACAGGATTTGAAGTAGTTAAGAACGTTAAATATCTGGGGGTTTATATTATGACTGCAAATACGAAATTATATCAGTACAACTATGAACCATTATGGCACAAAATACAGAAAGAGATGGACAACTGGAAAAAACTACAACTGTCTTTGCTGGGAAGGATAGCTGCTGTAAAAATGAATATTTTACCAAAATTTTTATTTCTTTTTCAAATGATACCTATACTTAAAAAAGATGAAAACTTGAAGGAATGGCAGAAGGGCATAAATAAATTTGTGTGGGCAGGGAAGAAACCACGAGTTAAACAAAAGATATTGCAAGATACTCGTGAAAGAGGTGGTCTTAAGATGCCCAATTTAAGACTGTACTATGAAGCCGCTGCCCTCTCAGCAATCACAGACTGGATAAACCTAACGGAGGAAGAGATATTGAATATTGAAGGATATGGTTTGGTATATGGCTGGCATGCTTACTTAGTGTATGATAAGAAAGTAAATAAGACTTTTAAAAGTCATATATTAAGAAATGCTCTATTGCGTGGAAAAAGTATAAATATAAATTAAATGATAGGTTACCAATATGGACAGCACCCAGACACGTGATAGAGAACATAAATTTAGAGCAAAAGCAAGATAAGATTACATATAAGGAATTCCTCTATAAGGAAGGAGTCAGATTACAATTAAAATCTATGGAGCAATTAAAAGAAGAAGGGATTATTAAGACTTGGTTTCAATATGGACAGTTGCTGGCCAGATGGAGAGAAGATCAAAAAACTGGTATTTTGCAGCAGGATGAGAATTTGATAAAGCAAATAAGAGATAAAGGTCAAATGCATATAAAAAGGTTGTATAATGCATTAGTGGAAATAGATTCAGAAACAGATTTAGTTAAGGACTGTATGATAAAATAGGCACAAAATGTAGGTGAACCAATAACGATGGAAACATGGGAAAAGATATGGGTTAGAAATGTAAAATTTACACAAGCACAAAATCTAAGGGAGAACTTTTACAAGATGTTTTATAGATGGCATTTAGATCCAAAAAAAATTAGCTTGTATGTATCCAAACTTACAACCCAAATGTTGGCGATGTGAGTGTGAAGATGCTACATATTTTCATATATGGTGGACATGTAAAAAAATTAAGGCTTTTTGGATAAAAATATGGTGGATTATTCAAAACATTTTGAAGAAAAAAATTAAATTCACACCACAGTTCTTTCTGTTGGAAATAGTTACGGATTGTACTGTAATAGAGACTAAGTTGGTTTTGAACTTAATAACGGCTGCCAGGTTACTGGTGGCACAGTACTGGAAGAAGGAAGATCCACCCACCATTGAGGAATGGACATTAAAAGTTGTACATTTGGCAGAAATGGCAAAAATTTCATCATATCTTAAAGACCATTCAAATGAAAGATATATATTGGAATGGAGAAGATGGATTGATTATATACAGAAGAAATATCGGAATAAGAAGATTCATCTAGTTTATGAATGAATAATTTTAAGTAGTTTATATCTGGGGTTGTTTTTTTTTTTTGTTTGTTTATTTTTTTTGAGTTATAAGGAGTTAAGGACCTAGGGAGAATACGAAATGTAATAATTGGAGCCAACAGCCAGGGTAATCCAAAGGTAAATTCATTTTATCAGGGCCTAACACAACTATAAATATTCAATACATAACAGCAGGGGTGTCAAACTCAAGGCCCTGGAGCCGGATCCAGCCCACAGGGTACTTAGATCTGGCCCACGGTGTTGTGGTCCGCCAGCAGCCTGCGGAGCTGGAAGCGGAGTCGGACAGCGATGAGGCTGAGGAAGAACAGGGGCCAGTCCTGGAGGCTAGGGAAGGCCTGGATGGGGGCTCTGCATCGGAGGCAGAGATGGGGCCAGGGTCATCGGGGAGTGATGTGCAGACTCCAGAGCCTCCAGAGGCTGACAGTAGAGAGGCAGAGGAACAGGAGAAGCCTGTTCCTAGTGCACGTATGAGAAGAGCTGCCAGAAGGCAAGAGCAGCTAAAGCAAAGAGGACGACTTGGGAGTAGGGCCAAGAGATGACTGGCCGCTCCCATAAGGATTAAAAGACCAGCAACGACTCTTGGGCTCTTTGTTGGAAAACATTGATAGACTTGTTCTTGTCTTGCTGCACTTATCTCTGGTCGGCGTCTTCTGCTTCTGAACTTTTGCCAAGAGAAGCCTTTGGCAGTTTCCCTAATTATACCAAGGTTGGTGATTAGACTGAAGAATTTGTGTTATGAAGAATTTGGTTTAATTATTTTGGACTATGCTGAGAATGAGTTAATTCTGAGCTGTTCTAATAAAGTCTGTTTGTTTTGGAACTGTTTGCGTCTAATGCTATCTACTTGGGCCTGGGTCACAACTCATGGAGCCACCCTGAAAACAGCAAAAGACTGCCCCATGGTGGTTCTGCCAGCGAAAACAGAGCTCTCCTGAGCTCCGTTTTCGCTAGCAGAGGAGTGCAGGAGGCTGTCACAGCTGAAAACAGAGTTTGGGAACCCTTTTTTGCTGGCAGAGCGCTCAGGCCTACAGGCACCGCCAACCCAAATGATGTCAAGCTGGCCATGCGCACCTAGCCACGCCCCCTCAAGGTCAAACACAACCCTGATGAGGCCCTCAATGAAATCGAGCTTGACACCCCTGCAATAAAGCAATCAAGGCTTACAGCATTGATCATAAAATACATTAAATACCAAAGAGTTGGCTATTCTCTAAAGAAGCCAACCATGTGTTTAAATGAGGGTGTTAGTTATTCTAGCTTTGGACTTAAGCTCCCGAAGGTCAGTCTGCAGAACTTGGTAATACCTCTTCAACAACCACAAACATTTGCAAGTAAATACAAATCTCCATGTGCACCATACACAAGTATTAGATGGATAATATGCAGTGGTGGGATTCAGCCAGTTCGTACCACTTCGGGAGAACCGGTTGTTAACTTTCTGAGCAGTTTGGTGAACTGGTTGTTGGAAGAAATCATTAGGGCAGAGAACTGGTTGTTAAATTATTTGAATCCCACCACTGATAATATGTAAAGTCCATCAAGGAACCAAGTTTTGGTTTTTTTAAAAAATATCTTATTAACATGTGATTCAGCAATTCTTAAACAAGGCAAAATCTTGACAGCTGGAGTCAGACTAGGATGTAAGTATATTATTAGGATGTTCTGCTTATCATTCCAGGCTGGCCATTTGATACTTTTATGTGTAAGATGAGTGGGTTGGTCCAAGGCATGTCCGTCTCGGCTTCCGTGTTCACCCTCGTGGCCATTGCGGTAGAGAGGTAAGCTTGCCTCACTAATTTTCTATTCCTTCCCTTCAGTCTGAAAAGGAAACTACAAAGTCACCTGACATTCTACGGATCTGAAATTTGTTCTCTTAATTAACCTTTCTCTTCAAGCTTCTCTTCTCCCAACTTGCTCCCAAAAATCCCCTCCTTGCTGCCTGAAACAGAGAACAGAATAGTCTCTTAATTCCAAAAAGCTGGGATAATGCTTTAAAAAAATGATTATCCAATATTAATTGCATTAATTGATGCATCTTTTTTTTTTACAACTGTACTTTCTATTAAAGTGAACTCTGGATCCTAGCCCTTATGAACCTCTCTTTATTGATGACTTTTGTATGTATGTATACACACACATAAGTCATCAAAAAAGGGGTTTATAAGGACTAGGATCCAGAGTATGTATGTATGTATGTATGTATGTATGTATGTATGTATGTGTATATATAGTTATTCTTATAAAATTTCTATCATGAATTTAGGTTAATATTTAGGATGAACCTCCTAAGTCCGTGATGGCGAACCTATGGCACACATGCCAGAGGTGGCATGCAGAGCGCTATCTGTGGGCACATGCGCTGTCGTCAGCTGCTTTTCTGGTTTCCGGCATGCAGATGCATGTCGGCTAGTTGGTCTTCACAAATGCCAGGGTGCCAGAAAATGGCCTGAAAACACCCCCAAGTACAGCCTGAAAACACCCCCAAAACTGGCCAAAAAAACCGGCCAAAAAACAGGCATGTGCGTCAGTGGTGAAATCTTACCAGTTCTGTCCAGCTTGTATGAACTGGTAGCGGCGGCAGTGCGTCATTCGGTGAACTGGTAGCGGCAGCAGCGTGAGGTCTGCTTTAGCTCAACAGACAGAAGCACTGTAATTTAACACCAGCTGTCTGCAATTAAAGTAAGATCAAATTTCGCCAGGCTCAAGGTTGACTCAGCCTTCCATCCTTTCTAAGGTAGGTAAATTGAGGACCCAGTTTGTGGGGGCAATAAGCTGACTTTGTATAAATATACAAAAGTATGAAGGCTATTGCTTAACGCACTGTAAAACGCGCTGAGTCTCCGGAGAAGGGCGGCATATAAATCAAATTAAAAACAAAAAAAAGCTCCGCCCACCCGCCCAGACGTCATTACTTCCTGGTTTGAACCAAGAAGTAACCCGTTTTTGACCCTCTGCGCATGTGGAGAGGGTAAAAAATTGGACGTGATGATGGCGCGCACTTCCAAGCTGGTAGGGAAGGTAAGTAGATTTCACCCCTGATATGCATGCCGGCTAGCTAGTCTTCGAGTTTCCGGAGCTCCAGCACGTACGTTCCAGTTTGGGTACTTGGTGCCAAAAAGGTTCGCCATCACTGTCCTAGGTGGTGGGATGTTGCTTAACAATATATAAATTTAAAATTAGGAAGATATTGTCAGCATCTTTTCTGACAAATTTTAGTATATGGTTAATTTTTTTATATTGGGATTATCCAATCACAGCAATTCCTGCAAGGTAGGTTGGATTGAGTAATAAAAATTGATGGTTTACAGCAGAAGAATCTGAGCCCAAGTCTCTCTAAATCTTTTGCTGTCTTTTGTCTCTCTCTTTCCTCGATGCACTATTCTTTGCTTGTTATCAAGTTGTAATAAATATTCCTTTTTAATCATGTTTGTTGATTGCATGTTATAATGAACACACCAGGCAGAGATCTAAAGATTCCCAATAGATGGGAAAATACTTCCCAATAGATGGTTGAGTAGATATTACAGCAGGGGTGAAATTCAGCAGGTTCTAACAGGTTCTGGAGAACCGGTAGCTAAAATGTTGAGTAGTTCGGAGAATCGGCAAATACCACCTCTGGTTGGTCCCAGAGTGGGGTGAGAATGGAGATTTTGCAATATCCGTCCCCCAGGAGTGGGGAGGGAATGGGGATTTTGCAGTATCCTTCCCCTGGAGTGGGGAGGGAACGGGGATTTTGAGGTATCCTTCCCCTGGAGTGGGGAGGGAATGGAGATTTTGCAATATCCTTCCCCCAGGAGTGGGGAGGGAATGGGGATTTTGCAGTATCCTTCCCCTGGAGTGGGGAGGGAACGGGGATTTTGAGGTATCCTTCCACTTGAGTGGGGTGGGAATGGAGATTTTGCAATATCCTTCCCCCAGGAGTGGGGAGGGAATGGAAATTTTGCAGTATCCTTCCCCGGAGTGGGGAGGGAATGGGGATTTTGCAATATCCTTCCCCTGGAGTGGGGAGGGAATGGGGATTTTGCAGTATCCTTCCCCTGGAGTGGGGAGGGAATGGGAATTTTGCAATATCCTTCCCCTGCCACGCCCACCAAGCCACACCACACCCACCAAGCCACACCCACAGAACCAGTAGTAAAAAAAAAATTGAATTCCACCCCTGTATTACAGCAAACCACAAAAGAAGGCCTGTTTCAAACAGCAGTTCTGATATTTGAGCAGACCGCCTTTTCTTTTTCTTCCAGGTTCCGCTGCATTGTGTATCCTTTCAGACAAAAGCTAACTGTACAGGCAGCTCTGATCATCATCATCATCATTTGGGTCTTAGCCTTCATCATCATGTGCCCCTCCGCGGTTACCTTGACCGTCACTCGAGATGAAAACCACTTCATGCTGGATGCTTATAATAATTCCTACCCTTTTTACTCCTGCTGGGAGGCCTGGCCAGACCCCAAAATGCGTAAGATCTATACCACTGTCCTCTTCTCACACATTTATCTTGGCCCTCTCATCGCAATGGTGATCATGTATGCTCGAATCGCCTTCAAGCTTTTCAAGTCCTCCGCACCTATCAGAGGTTCCCTGTCAGAGGACAGCGAGGGAAGAAGGATCTCAAAGAGGAAAATAAAAGTGATCAATATGCTGATTATTGTGGCATTGTTCTTCAGTCTCTCTTGGCTGCCCCTTTGGAGTTTAATGCTGCTGACCGATTACGGGAACCTGGATTATCATCAGCTCAGCCTCATCACGGTTTATTTTTTCCCATTTGCCCACTGGCTGGCTTTCTTTAACAGTAGCATCAATCCAATCATCTACGGGTACTTCAATGAAAACTTCCGGAGAGGATTCCAAGCTGCCTTCAAAATCTATTTTTGCTCGGCAGAAAAGGAACACCAGGAAACCTATTCTGACCGCAACCACAGCAGGCCTCTTTTTAGAGCGCGCAATCGGATATTCGTCGAAGTTCAAGGCTCCGATTCGGTGCAGCCCTCTGATTCTGGAGAAAGCAGTGTTTTGAAAGCAGGATTGTTTCTTGCCAAAAATGGTCAGGCAGCTCACCACGGGCTCAAGGTGGAGGATTTGGACAGTAAAAGTTGCTCTCCCAAAACTGTTAGCATCCCTGCTTGGGATATCTGAGCACATTTCAATCTTCTTTGAAATGATGAGTTGACTTTACTAGATGCGAGATATTTTCGGAATGCAGTGGTACCTCTGTACTCATCGATAATTGGTTCTGGGAGGCACGATGAGTACCAAACAAATTTTTCGCATAAGGAATAATACAGTATGTCACAAGTCAGCCAATGTCGACATCTTCTAGCTTGTGTGTTGTGTACCAAACAAATGATGAGTATCAGGGGAAAAATGCATTGAGTACCAAATTGGATGAGTTTCCAAGCAGCTGAGTACCAAAATACCACTGTATGTTCATAGTCGTTTTAGAAACATGGTTTAAGCAAATTATGAAGACCAAATGCTTTACCATTCTTGACACCAAGGAAAGGATGTGAGGTGTGGGAGATGATCTCATCTTTGAATCCCCACTTTTTGGTTACATAATATGGAGGAGATGAATGCTTCTAATGTGTTTCAGTCCTCCATAGCATCTTTCCCATTCCTTGCCTCTGTTTAAAGGAAAATCTGGTGTAGTTGGAGGAGGGATATGTATGGTGAGTATACATTGATAATGCAAATACCTCATCCAATGGATTCCACTGTCTGTGCTACTTCAATGCAAATAATAAACTTTGCATCATACTCATAAAGAGACTTAAGTCGTTTAGTTGTTGCTCAAAATCAGTTCTGCAATAATCCCACTAATTTTTCTAGACTACACCAGGGGTTAATGGTTGCAACAAGGCTGGAAACCAGGAGGCTGTGACTTCTAGTGCCTAGGCACAAAGTAAGCAGTCTGGGTCACCTTGGGCCGTTCACTTTTTGTCAGCCCTAGGAAGAAGGCAATGGCAAGCCATCTCTGGAACCTTGCCAAGAAAACGGCAGGTACTAGTCCAGGCAGTCCAGGCAACAACTGAAAGGTATCACAACGACAACAGTACAATGGGTGCTTCTCCATTAGGGGTTCCCAACCCCCAGGCTGTGGCCCATTTGAAATCAGGCTGTGGAAGCAGTTGAGTGAGTGCACGTGTATACACACACAGTTCCAATTGCATGAATGGCGGGCAAGTGCATGCAAACGCAAAGCTTTTGTGCGAGTGGTGTGCATGCGCATCCATCACTTGTACAAAGGGAGCTGCACGTGCCCACTCGCCTGCCACTCACCTGTAACCAGGGGTGGGCTGCTGGGGGTTCGCAGGGGTTTGTGAGAACCTCTAACTAAGATTCTGTGCAGTTCGGAAAACCCCCAAATCCCACTCTTGGCTGGCCCCACCCACGAGTCCCCAAGCGGCCCATTTTGGATGCAGTAACTGAAGGGCGCGTGCAGAGGCTCGGGGAGGGTGAAAAATGGGCCTACCGGAAGTTCGGGAAGGCTGGAAACTTCAGCCTCCAGAGTGCCTCCGGAGCCTGGGAAGGCCGTTTTCACCCTCCCAGAAGCTCAAGGAAAGCCTCCAGAGCCCAGAGAGAGCAAAAACGCCCCTCCTTCACCATGGTGTATGAGGCTGATTAGGCCACGCTCACAAAGCCCACCCCCACCCAGCAACCAGGTAGAGAACCCCTTGCTAAAATTTTTGAAGCCCACCCCCGCCTGGAACCATGCCCTCTCCCCCCGCCCCCGCCTCCACCACCACTACTGGTCCACAAAATGGGAACGTTTGGGGACCGCTGTTCTAAATGATAGCTTCATATTATGTAATTGTACAATTTGGCTCATGGAATCCCACTCTGGGAATGAAATGAGGCCCTGGTAAACAAAGGAATTCTAAAGATTCAGCTTGGGGACAGATGGTCCTACAGAAAATCTACTAAGCAATAGCTAAGAATTGACACTGATTTGATGATGCATAATCAGTCCATCTCAAAATAGGCTGGAAGACACTGAGGTCTGGCACAGCTGCTGGTAAGGTAAAAGTAAATGTTCCCCTCGCACATATGTGCTAGTTGTTCCCAACTCTAGGGGGTGGTGCTCATCCGTTTCAAAGCTGAAGAGCCAGCACTGTCCGAAGACGTCTCCGTGGTCATGTGGCCGGTATGACTAAACGCCAAAGGCGCACAGAACGCTGTTACCTTCCCACCAAAGGTGGTCCGTATTTTTCTACTTGCATTTTTTACGTGCTTTCGAACTGCTAGGTTGGCAGAAGCTGGGACAAGTCACGGGAGTTCACCCCGTTACGCGGTGCTTGGGATTCAAACTGCTGAACTGCCGACCTTTCAGTAATCTGAATAGGAAGATAATAGGAGTCCTTTGTTTCACTTTGACTTTATTCTTCAATCTCTGTTTAAGGGATATTTTGGGAGTGTTAAGGATACAATGCCCTCTATATGGCACTTACCCAGGTCTCCTTGGCTCTACTACAATTTAACCACCACAACACATTAACTTTCTAGATCGGTTGTTGGATTGCGACTTGCAAAATATTCAACCACCATTATGAACTAGAATTAAAGCCCTAAATGGTCCCATCACAACCAAAATGTGAGTGACTGTAAAATGATTTAAACCAGTGGTGGGTTGCTCCCGGTTCGCACCGGTTCAGAAGAACCGGTAGTAAAAAATTTTAGTAGTTTGGAGAACCGGTAATAGCATTGGCTGGCCACGCCCCCGAACCGGTCCCCAGCCCGGTCGCGGCTCGCTTACCCCGCCACCTCATCAACGCTTTTTTTTTTTACTTTTAAAAGCATTTTTTCTACAACCTCTTCGGCTGAAAAAATGCTTTTAAAAATTAAAAAAAAATCCTCTGATGATCACGCGGCTCAGCTGGGATCTTCAGAGGCTTCTGAAAACATTTTTTCTGCAACCTCTTCAGCTGAAGAGGTTGTAGGAAAAAAAATCCCTTTAAAAGCCTCTGGCGATCCCAGCAGATTTGCCTGACCGTCAGAGGCTTCTAAAAGCATTTTTTTCTGCAACCTCTTAAGGTTGTAGAAATAATGCTTTTAAAAGTAAAAAAAAAAAAAAAGTTGGCCACGCCCATCATCACATTACCCCTCCAAGCCATGCCCACAAAATAAGCCACGCCCACAGAACCAGTAGTAAAAAATTTTAGAACCCACCCCTGATGTAAACATATCTCAAATATACATGGATCAACTGATTCTAATGGACCCACTTAGCAAATACTTGCATTGCAGCAACCAGGCTCCTCCTCTTCCTTCTCTCTCATTCTGTGTCGATGTGTGTCAAAAATAGCAGAGCAGCTGTGATTGCATCCTTGAAGCCCTGCTCCTTTCTTTTAAAAAAAGCTTTTACAGATAGTCCTCAACTTACGACCAACCAACATTTTTGTTGCTAAGTGAGATGTTTGCTAACTGAATTTTGCTCCATTTTACGACTTTTCTTGCCACAGCTGTTAAGTGAATCACTGCAGGTGTTAAATTAGTAACGAGGTTGCTAAATTAATCTGGTTTTCCCCTTGACTCTGGTTGTCACAAAAGGTGATCACATGACCCCGGGAGACTACAACGGTCATAAATGTGAGTCAATTTCCAAGCATCTCAATTTTGATCACGTGGGGGGGGATGCTACAATGCTAAAAGAGCCTTGGTGGCGCAGCAGACTAAAGTGCTATTAAGTAGCACCAGCTGCCTGCAATTACTGCAAGTTCAAATCTCACCAGGCTCAAGGTTGACTCAGCCTTCCATCCTTTCGAGGTAGGTAAAATGAGGACCCGGATTGTGGGGGCAATAAGCTGATTTTGTATAAAAAAGTCAATGCTGGATGATAATTGCACCCTCCTCCAGGGGTGAAATCCAGCAGGTTCTGACAGGTTCTGGAGAACTGGTAGCGGAAATTTTGAGCAATTGGGAGAACTAGCAAATGCCACCTCTGGCTGGCCCCAGAGTGGGGTGGGAATGGAGATTTTGCAATATCCTTCCCCCAGGAATGGGGATTTTATATTATCTTTTCCCTGGACTGGGTGGGAATGGAGATTTTGCAATATCCTTCCCCCAGGAATGGGGATTTTGCATTAACCTTCCCCTGCCACGCCCACCAAGCCACGCCCACAGAACCGGTAGTAAAAAAAAATTGGATTTCACCACTGCCCTCCTCCCTCCCTCTCCCTCCGCGTGTTGAAATCGAACCGAAGGATGAGCTCAAGCTTTCCAAAACACGGGAGTCGGAAGCGCACGGCGGGTGAGCCAGTCTCCCTTTTCCTACTTCTATACAGCGAACGAGAGGCTACTGAAAAGAGAAAGCTACGGAGCCTGCGCAGTACGGCACCGGCGTGGCGGCTGGATGATGAAAAACCCCGGCGGCGTGAGGCAGGGTGCTTGTTCCATGCAGCGAGGGGGCGGGGCCGAAAAGGGAGAGGGGAGGAGCCAATCGGACAAATCAAGGCCCGCCCTGAGCGGCTGCGCGGTGAGTTTGCTCTTTCCCTTGTGGCTCATTTCACGAGCCGGTCCGGCTGAGCGACATGGCTGCTTACCGAGTGGAGGAGCGGGGCGACCCCAACAGCCTCGACTACAGGCTCTTCTTCAGTGAGTCCTTGGCGGGAGGACGGGAGAGCCTTTCCCTTCCCCGGAGGCGGCTGGTGGGGCGCAGGCAGCCTTGGTGGTGGTGGGGGGGACCCTTCCAGTGCCAGCCGTCCTTTGACTACGGTCAATGAAAACATGCTGCTCAATGAGATAAAGGCGGCATTAGGAGTCCCGTTTGCGTGGCGCCCGCGGCTGTTAAGGGCGTGAACCGGGCTTCAAGCAGGAGATAAGTTTAACTAACGTTTCGCTTTCCTGCAACGGTCCTTTAAACCCGGCGGGGATCCGGGAGGGTCTTTCCAAGAAGCTGGGTGTGCCTCCTGAAAAATTAACCACCAAAAGTTTCTGGGTCATCCCAAATGACGCATCCTCAGAAATAAGCCAGGTTGAGCCCCATTATTGGAGCTTAGTTGCCGTTTTTAAGTATGGGAGTATGGATGGGAAACGCGTTCATAATCATCTCAATATTTTAAGTAGACTAGAGCTGGAAAAGGGACCTTGGAGGTCTTCTAGTCCAGCCCTCTTCGCCCCCACCACCACCATCACTACTCAAGCATCTCAAACCCATCCTTGGCGGGTTTGGGGCTTCTCTGTATTATCTTGTAACTTTTGGCTTCTTCCGTTTAGAAAAGGATGGTGATAGAAATCTTCCCTTCCAAGGACCATTTTGTTAATGTAACCGAAGCATAGATGGGGCTGCTGGGTGAAAGTTTTCTTTCATATATGCCTTGTGTGTCTCGTACTAGGTATGATTTATTTAAGAAGAGAAGTATGGGGGAAATCGATGTAAATTCTCTAGGAGCAGAACCAGGGTGGATTTGATTTAAATCACAATTTAAATCATGATTTAAATCACTAGTAAAAAGGCTTGATTTAAATCAACTCGATTTAAATCGTAATTTTAAAAGAGCAACTGTCATCTCTGCTACTCCTTTGACCCACTGTTGACTCACCGATAGTCCCAGTGTTGCAGAATATACAGCCTCATGCTACATAACTAAGCTCCGTTTCATGCTGAATAAACTAAATTATTTATGTATCTTAAATAGAAAACTATCTTGCGATAGATTTTTACCCCAAAAGTTTTTTATTAAAATAAATTCGATAAAACTCAAAAAAATCCAAATCATTGATTTTTATCCACCGTGAGCAGAACAGGCTGGGGAAATAGTGAAAGGGG